ACGGCTATCCTGGACAAACTCATTACTATGACCATCAATGAGAAGCAGATGTACCCCTCCATACAGGCGAAGATATGGGGCAGCTTGGGTCAGGTGAGCCTTTCAAACAATTGTAAAGTTTCTCCTAGTTTTATTGAAGGAATTTGATTTTGTGAGCTTATTCCATCCAAAATGTTTCAAACAGGCTTTACAATGACAAATGCCTTCAAACTCTAACACCCCTGTATATTTCTGTAGTAATTCGGCCCATGTCTATAGAAACTCGCAAGTCAGCAGTTACAGAATGCACCATTTTTTTACGTTTATAGATCACAGACCTGCTTGATGTGGTGTTGGATAGCTTCATAAAGACTAGTGCTACTGGGGGTTTGGGATCCATCAAGGCTGAAGTGATGGCTGACACAGCTGTAGCTCTGGCTTCAGGAAACGTCAAGCTGGTGTCCAGCAAGGTAAGCACTTACTGGTCACCATATTATGTGAATTTATGTTTTTAATATATTATTTAATATGATGCTGTTCCTAAGATAAAATACTGTAGCATCTCAGTTAGTTTGTACTGAAATACTAAATCTTGCTGCATTGCTGAAGTGCAATGAATGATTTAGAGCATGGAAAATGCAACAGAACCAAAACCAAAATGTACCATTTTGTTTTTTTTCTTCCTACAGTAGTAACAGAATGTGCAGTGATTTTGTAAGCACAGATGCTATTGCATTTTTAGTTGTAATGTTTTAATGAGTTTCTTTATTTATTTTGCTTTATATATATATATATATATAAAATGATAGGATTATTAAAATATTTTATTTATTTATAAAGTTATCAATTTGTTCATCCCAAAATGATTCAAAATGCCCCGGAACAGCTTGACTTATATTGCATGCATTTTTGTATAATTTCATCCAATTTATCTCAGTTGAAATGTTTAATATCATACAATATTTAGTTATAATATTACTATATTCAATTATCCATTAAACCAATTTTATTTCTTGTTAACATAACTCTAAATGTCCTTTTAGGTTAATTTCTAGCCCACTAACACTCTTTTAAACAGATTTCGACTTACCGCTTAAAGTGTTTCTGGCTCTTGTGTTTCTGAATCATTCCTCTTGTGATCTTATCCAGGCTGACTAGCTCTTCTACCCAACATCTATTATCCTAAGTGTTGTGCACAAATGCCCAATTTGTACGTGTGCGCACAGACAGACAATAGTTAGCCAGTGGGGCAGTCGCTTCTATTATATGGGCAACTGTTAGTCATTACGCTCAATGGACGTCATTGTCAGACACTTGGGCAGAGGGAGAGCCACATTTGCGAATTGGATAACTTAAGCACCTCGGTCTTTATGATTCTTGATTGACGCAGTTACCATAACTAGATATATACTAGATATTTTTCAGTAGTTGAAGATACTTCGTTGTTTTCCCAAATGCTCAGCTATGCTGAAAAGCTAAATATTGTTTGGTTAACATGTGCCAGCCACTGCTGATGTCACAGCGGGCAGCACAAGGACAGGCTTTGTCCAGTTGTTGCGTCTGCTTTTCTAAGACTCGTATAGCAGCTGGACTCTGAGGTTAAATGAGGGACCAAGTATAATCTCGAGAGAGCAAATGATGTTTAGGTGCATGTCACCGAGTGAAAATAAAAGGGACACTGTCTATATTTGTTCTAGTAGTAGTTTCTAATTTGTGGTTGGTTTGAAATGATAAGTTATGCTTTTTGTAGAGTCCAGTCATTGTTTTGCTAATTTTGAAAGCTTAAAATTGTTAAACTGTCTTAGTGATATTGTTCAATTTAGCACTCAGACTCTTTAGTTTTCATCAGGGACTAATTAAAGTAAAATAAAGCCCATATTTGTAATGTAACTACAAATTTCTTTATTAATTTCTCTCAGGTGATTGGCCGGATGTGTAAGATCATCGATAAGACATGCCTGTCCCCCACCCCCACCCTTGAGCAGCACCTGATGTGGGACGACATCGCCATCCTGGCCCGTTACATGCTCATGCTCTCCTTCAACAACTCTCTGGACGTGGCCGCTCATCTGCCCTACCTGTTCCATGTCGTCACTCTGCTGGTGGCCACCGGCCCGCTGTCACTCCGAGCGTCAACGCATGGCCTCGTTATCAACATCATACACTCGCTCTGCACCTGCTCACAGCTCAACTTCAGCGGTGAGAAATAACTCACAGAAAGTGAGGGTTTTAAAGGAATAGTTGACCAAAAAATGAACATTTGGTCATCCAAATGGTTTCTTCATCAGAACAGATCATTCTGTTTATTTAGCATTACATCACTTGCTCACCATAGGCCAGTGAATGGGTGCCGTCAGAATGAGAGTCCAAACAGCTGATAAAAACATCCATAACATCCATAAGTAATCCACATGACTCCAGTCCCTAATTTATGTTGTGTGAAGGGAAAAGCTGCTTGTTTGTAACAAATTCATCAAGATATTTTTCTGGCTAAAATACAAGTCCTCTATTCATAATATTGCTTTTGTAATATTGTTATCTCCATATAAAAATAAGAATTTAGAAATGTTTTAACAAGTGTATAAGGAATGATCACAGTCTCAGTTCATTTTTTTTTTTTTAACTCATGCTTAAGTACTGCTTATGCCAAATATAATTCAATTACATGATATCAAAGTTACACCTAAGATATACCTGAATTTTTAACTGTTTAAAACCTGAATAATGGCAAAAAATAAATAAAATAAATGAAAAACATTTATTGTGCATAATATCTACATAAAAATCTGTACTTGTTAAAATGTTTTTGGTAACTTAAAATGAAAGAATAATCTAAAAAAAAAATTTAATGAAATAAAAAAAACTTTGAATACAGTAATGATCTGAATCTTTTTTATTTTTTTATTTTTTGCAATTTGACAGACTTGATGTAAAAAGGGGTATTTTTGTGCCAACATTTTGATTTTGAATAAATATGCCTTGCATGTATGTGCTACATGGCAATGTACTCCTTGCATTGTTATGCAGTAGTTCTGATTTATTGTTTGCTAGACATTAGGTTGTTTTAACGTTAGATGATCTGTCTGATTTTTTTTGCTGTTCTGGTTTTTGCCTTTGCAGAGGAGACTAAACAGGTGCTGCGTCTGAGTCTGACTGAGTTCTCCCTGCCCAAGTTCTACCTGCTGTTTGGCATCAGTAAGGTCAAATCTGCGGCGGTCATCGCCTTCCGCTCCAGCTACAGAGACCGCTCATTCTCCCCTGGCTCCTATGAGAGAGAGACCTTTGCTCTTTCTTCCCTGGAAACCGTTACAGAGGCTCTTTTGGAGATTATGGAGGTTAGTTACTGCTGCTGTCATTTTAAAGTATTTGTCATCTTTTTATGTATCTCCAGCACTGTGCTGATCTTTTAAAAGAATTTAGGAGTTCCATAACTACTTATTTTTCGAAGCTTTTTATGTACATGTTATTTAACCAATTGTTGTTTTTCCCTAGGCCTGTATGAGGGACATTCCTGGATGCAAATGGTTGGATCAGTGGACCGAATTGGCACAAAAGTGTGTTGAAAACTACATTTCACAAGTTTTTTGAAGCAGTTACAACTGAAAATCACAGTACAATCACATTTAAATAGCTAATTGTATTTTCTTTTCTTGGATAGGTTTGCATTCCAATATAACCCATCTCTTCAGCCACGGGCGCTTGTGGTGTTTGGCTGCATCAGTAAACGTGTGACTCATGGACAGCTCAAACAGATCATTCGTATTCTCAGTAAAGCCAGTCCTCTGCTCAGCATTGATCGGGTTAGCTCTGTCTGTTTTTCTCTCTCAAACTACCTCAGTTTAGATTTGATTGTAATTGGCTCGAATCGTTTGTTTTTGGTGCATTTATATAATGTGGTCTTCTCTGATGTTTACTTTTTGATAAAATTCATTGAACACCATAGCTGTGCACCATTTAGAACTGAATAAGAATAAGACAATTACATTTTTTTAAATTTGATTTGAGGTTGTCAGGATGCAGAATTCTTATTTAAATTAATTGAGGTTGAATTTTTAATGAACTATTGCCCATATTGCCCATTGGGGGTATGTCCGCACACATTAAAATATTATTATTAATCAATGTTTAAAATGCCACCTATGAAAATTAGCATGCAGTTTATGTATATTTATTTATATTTAATAAATTAGGTCACATTGAGTTGCATTTTAAAATAAATTACAAATTAAAAACAGTAATCTTTAAATAATATCTGTTAGTGTTAAATAGTATTTCACAATATTACTGTTTTGTTGTATTTTTGATCAACCTTGGTGAGACTTATTTCAGAAACTAAAAAAAAAAGAACAACCCCAACTTTTAAATGGTATTTTATGTAGTGTATTATGTAGTCAATAAATTAAGATTTTTATTTTTATAAAAACATTCAGTTTGGACAACTTCAAATCTATTTTGATAACTGTGGAAATGTATACAGTATTGAGTAAAGTTTAGAGAAATGCATTTATTATCAGTTACTGGGAAAGTTACACAAGACTAAATGAATAGATGTAATTAATTAGCCATGGTTTGTCACAACATTTCAAACTGGTTGGACTAATGACATTTCTCTGTTGTCATTTCTCTGTTGTCGAATTTCCTCTTGTGACTGTATTTTATCTGGAAATGGAGAATATTTGGGTTGTATGAAGAGTGTTTGTGATTCAGAATGCAGTGCAGTGCTAGTCTAACTGCTGTAGTGTCATTCGCTCCGACTGTTTGCTGGCGTCATGCTCCGCCGCTCTGTCTGATTAATGCTGTTCCTGCACAGGGGCTGGAGAGCTGCTTAAAGGGGCCGGATAATTACAACAGCCAGGTTCTCATTGAGGCCACCGTCATCGCTCTCACAAAACTACAGCCTCTCCTCGATCAGGTGCAGTCATGTTGTATGCTGGATTCAATTATGAAAACATCAGCAGTTATTACCGCTGATGTAACACGACAGTAAAAATTTTTCATTTGCTTCTCTCTGTGTATACATGTATGAGTGTTTAGGGAAACTAGTTTGAAAATATGTTTGCAATTCAGTTTGGTGGTGCAGAAATGACACACTTGACGTATTAATAGTTTTGTGTGTACGTGTCTAATGATCTGCAGGACTCTCCCATGCATAAAGCTCTGTTCTGGGTGGCTGTGGCTGTACTTCAATTGGATGAAGTGAATCTGTATTCTGCCGGAACCGCCCTACTGGAGCAGAACCTGCACACACTGGACAGCCTCCGGGTGTTTAATGATAAGGTGCCCGACTGAAATCCACATTTAGACAACCACAGACTGAAAACTTTGATACTCTTGATATTATTATTAGTGATAGATAAAATATCAAGGTGGTAGAATGTAAAACTCTAAGCCAGGGGTCACCACACTCAGTCCTGGAGGGCTGGTGTCCTGCAGAGTTTAGCTCCAACCCTAATTAAACACACCTGAATCAGCTAATCAAGGTCTTGCTAGGTATACTTGCAACGTCCAGGCAGGTGTGTTGAGGAAAGTTGGATCTAAACTCTGCAGGACAGCGGCCCTCCAGGACCAAGTTTGGTGACCCCTGCTCTAAGCAGTTATCTTCATAAAAACATTTCCACCCCTTTATAGAGTCCTGAGGAGGTCTTCATGTCCTGAGGAGGTCTTCATGGAGACCCGGAAGCCTCTGGAATGGCATTGTAAACAAATGGACCATTTTGTGGGACTCAACTTTGCCTCCAACTTCAACTTTGCATTAGTGGGGCACTTGCTCAAAGGTAATGATTAAAAAATCAGTGGATCACACTGTAGAATTAATATTTCCATTAAGAATGTCCATTGCCTACTTTGTACAAATGAATAAAAAAAAAAATCAGGGTCAACATGCATTTATTTTAATTTGACTTATAACTAATGTCTGGTTTAAAACTAATCTGTTCCAATGTTTCAGAGGGATAATAATAATAATAATTATTATTGTTATTGTTATTATTATTATTATTATTATTATTATAAATTGGGTTTAACATGCCATTTTAATTATTTATTTATTTGTTTGGTTACTTTTTTTTATTTTATTCATTCTTCTAGGTTGCTGAATTTATTTATTACTGTTGTATAAACAGACCAGTTGATGCATTGAGCAGTTTTAACAGTCGATCACATTGAGCATTTGCAGTTCATCAGTGAAAGGTCTTTCATGTGTCTGGTTCCTCATATTTGTCTTTTCTTCATTTAGGATACAGACATCCCTCTTCCACCACTGTGGCCAGGACAGTCCGTATCCTTCATACGCTCCTGGGCCTGGTGGGAAAACACCGTAGCTGTGACAAGTTTGAGGTGAACACGCAGAGTGTGGCCTATCTGGCAGGTACATTAAAGCCAGCACAACCTTAAGCAAACAATCACAACCTGTTATGAAGTAGATATGCATCTTAATTCAGATGGAAACATCTAAAGTGTATGTTTGTGTATAGCTTTGCTCACAGTGTCAGAGGAGGTGAGGAGCCGCTGCAGTCTAAAGCACAGGAAGTCATTACTGCTCTCAGAAGTTACCATGGAAAACTTTCCCATGGACATGTACTCCGTGTACGACACTGAACCTGGATGCAGGTGAGAATTTTTCATCAAATAGGTTTGAATTTTCTGTTTTTCGTTCTCCTATTTACTTGTTTTTCCAACCACACTATATTGATATTTTTTTTGAATTGCTTTTTTTTTTGTTGCTTGTTGATTTTCACACTCTCTTATGTGTCAGGCTACTGCGTGAAAACCAGCCCTGGGCTTCTCCGAAAGTGTCAGAGCGCAGTCTTGCACCTCCGTACTCTGCAATGGGGCAGACCAGCCTTCGCCCACGCAAATCCATGAGCGTAGACATGGGCCAGCCGTCACAGGCCAATGCGAAGAAACTTCTGGGTATTAGCGGTCTGATGACTTCGTTCTTTCTAAGAGGCTCTTAAACATGCTGTAGCTTTACTTTAGCTTCATACTTAAGTGCTTTTATTTTTATTCTAGGCACTAGAAAGAGTTTTGATCATCTGATTTCGGACTCAAAAGCCCCAAAGAGACCAGACATGGAGTCAGGCATCACCACACCTCCAAAGATGAGACGAGTTTCTGAAAATGACTATGAGATAGGTAAGTTTTTTTACAATTATGAATTAAATGTGTTATGCTACAGGCCAGTGCTAATCTATATGCAGTAAATGTTAATTGGGCTTTGAAATGAGAGAGGTTGAATTGCCAACACCTCTTCTTTATTCCAGAAACTCAGCGAATAGCCAACTCCCATTTACGCAAAGTTTCTGTGTCTGAGTCCAATGTCCTCCTAGACGAGAATATTCTCACAGACCCGAAGATCCAGACGCTGCTCCTTACTATACTGGTGTGTGCTCCATACTACTTTTCATTGCACTTGAACTTGTGCTTTAAATCCTTCTACAGGTGGAATTGTCTTTGTATATTAAATGTTTTTTCTTTGCTATTGCCTTATGTATAGCACAAGAAAGTTAAATGAAGATCTTTTTCTTTTTCCATCTATGATGGTTTTTATATTATATTTACTGTTGTATAGTGAAGTATTGTTTTTAATTGCAGGCAACACTGGTGAAATACACTACGGATGAGTTTCATCAGCGGATCCTGTACGAGTATTTGGCTGAGGCCAGTGTGGTGTTCCCCAAGGTCTTTCCAGTAGTGTGAGTGTCTGCCATATTACATACCAACACATCACTCTGAGTCATTCAAGATCCATTAGTCTCCTATTGTTTCCCATGCTAAAAATATTTCATGAGTTTCAGGGTTGTGTTGACGTGAATGGAAAGATACAGAAATGAGGTGTTAACAATTGTTTTTGTAAAATTATCCAACAAGTTTGAATGTTTAAAATAGTTAAAGGGTTAGTTCACCCCAAAATGAAATTCTGTCATCATTAACTCGCCCTCATGTAGTTCCAAACCCATGAGAAATTTGTTCATCTTTGGAACACAAATGAATATATTTTGAATGAAACCTGAAAGATTTCTGTCCATCCACTGAAAGTTTGTTCACCCAAAACTCAACTCTCATGCTTCAAAAGGTTTTTTTTTTTTTTTTTTTCAAAACATTTGCAACAAGTTTAATCCAAGTCTTCTGAAGAGACATGATCACTTTATATAATGAGCAGAATTAATTTAGTTTTTTTCCACATAAACATTCATCAGCGAACATTGGCAATCATTGGTTCTCATGTCAAGCAAGCATGCTTGAGCTTCAGTGGCCAAATTTGAATGCTGTAAAAGCCTAAAATAAACATATAAAGCTGCTTAATATTTTGTTAGAAACCATTTTTTAGGATTATTTAATGAATAAAAAGTTCAAAACAACAGCATTTGAAGTTTAGAGATATTTTGCCAAACTATAAATGACTTTACTGTGACTTTTGATTAATTGAATGCATCCTTGTTGAATAAAACTCTTAATTTCTTATAACAATCTTACTGAGCCCAAACCTTTGAACTGTAATGTATGTTTGTGTGTAATTGAAGTATCTTTTTCCATACACTAGATATGGAAACAATGTCATGACACTGTTTTTATTAGTTCCTGAGAGTAATTTTTGATTTAAAAGTGACTTTACTGTAATGTACAGCTACAGTTTCATACTACTCCCAAGTCACTAATCGTCATAATGATGCATACCTATGAGTGTGTTTGGCATGAGTAATACATATAAAGCCACATATTCAAATAATAATCCACTAGCCAATTGAGTTCCATGAAAAAAATGTGAAGAATGTGAGAAGAGTGTGTTATTGTTTTGTACTACACCTACATGACAACAAGTTTTTTAGGTCCACGTAGATAATTTACACTAATTAGCTTTCGCAATATGCATGAAAATGATCCGGTCTGTTGTATATTTAGTTTTGGCCCTGTAGTTTGACATTAATTTTGCCTGTGTCATTTTTATCCATTATAGCCACAACCTGTTGGACTCCAAATTAAGCACCGTCCTTTCCATGTGCCAGGACCCCAACCTCCTGAACCCCGTCCATGGCATCATTCAGAATGTGGTTTATCATGAGGAGTCTCCTCCCCAATACCAGCCGTCCTGCTTGCAGAGTAAAGCCAATCTCTCCAGTCATTTCTCAACATTTACATTTCTTGGCAGATGCTTTCTTAATTATCTAAAAGCAAGTTTTTAAAGTAGCGCTGTCAACTTATATTCATTTAGTGCTATTCATTTGTATTTTTTTTTATTTAAAAATGCAAATATTGATAAGACTGTTAGTTATTATTAAATTGATTTTGCATGTAATTGCAATTTTTAATCGATTAACAACACTAGTTTAGAGTTTGTTTTTTTTTTTTTGTACGTCTTGTTTAGAGTTCTGATGTCTGACTGATTCCCTTTTTTTCTTTTCATTCTTCTTCACTGTCATCTGTCTCTGCTGTCACCTCTCTCTTTGTCTCACAGGTTTCGGTTTCAACGGTCTTTGGAGGTTTGCCGGGCCCTTCTCTAAGGTATGATTAACTGCTCCCATATACACTTTTCATTTTCCAACAGAGCGCAGTGAAGAAATTGTGTGCTGCGGTCTCTCTGCAGCTTTCTAGATTTATTGACCAAAACGGCTTCCCCAAACATCTCCCGCACCCATCCTGTGTCTGTGCCCTCTTACCCTCCCACAGTTCTGCTGTGGTTTAAAAAGGTGTAAATGACAGGGATGTATTGCTTATGTATCCCTTGCTGAAGGAACTGTTTTCCTTCTTTCATGTCTCAGCAATAATGATCCGTTTCATCCTGCCTTGTCAGACCAATAATTCAGGTTTTTCCTGCCAATATTTTCATTGTTATAATGTTTATATTAATTGATTTTTTAAATTACTATTTAATTACCTTTATTTTGTTTGTTTTTTTTAAACACATTTTTATGTGCTGGAAATATATATATATTAAAGTATATATAGCCTTCTTGCATTATTATGCTGTTACATTATGATTATATATTCAGTGGCATAAAATGGTCTTTAAAATGACAATAATATCGCTTATCGCAATTATTTCTGGGGCAATATATCGCTCAACAAAAAGTTGTTATTGTGACAGGCCTACTGGTAGTTATTAAGTTACTTAGATTTTAGACACAATATTTACTGTTTTTGTTCTATTTCTACAACGAAAATAGTTCCGAACAAAGATCACAGCAGAAGTATTAAACATTCTCCAAGCAACACTCAGCAGTGTTTTGTTACGGAATGATTCAGCGTTTTTGAACTAATCGGTTGAATGACTCACTCATTAAGTGACTTACCGCCACCTACTGGTGGTTTAGTATGTTTAAAAGTATGCATCCCTCCCAACATTTCTTCATTTGCATTTCTTATTTGTATATCCAAAAATGTATTTAAAACATTAATCTCATAACATTATTTATTGCTGTTGTAAATTATTTAATCTGACTGGTAACAGCCCTATAGTGTATATTGAATTTATTGATCAATTGTAATAACTTGACATGAAAGATTATGCATACATTTAAAAACGTTGAAAAAGGTCTTTGTAAAGGTAAATAAAAATATGCAGATTTAAGTATGTAAAAGCTGATAGAACACTGAAAATATTGCTTCGGAATAAATTGTTTACACCACCAAAAATCTTGGTGATGCAGTACATTTGTGGGGATATCTGCTGATATGAAAAATAATAAATTTTTAGTTTTCTACACGAAAAAGGTTTTACCCCATAGCTTTGTCACACCACTAGAACAATTTCTATAATACATCTTATCTAATGAAACAATAAAACTCAAGTTAAAATTAGTTAAAATATTGGCTGGGCAAGTAACAATAATATTTTAACAGAAAATTTTAACTGGCTTCACCACAAAATATCAGGTCTTATTATATAAAATGTATTCTATAAATCAAAATTATTGTATTATTATTTAATTATTACTTTTATTTTTTATAACATTTTTCTATGTGCTGGGAAAAATGGTTTTCATTTACGTTTCCTTTGCAAAAAAAAAAATTTTATGGTTATGTTTTTAATATGCAGTCATATCTGGAATTGTGCAATTTACAACTACATGTCAGCTATAAATTTGCTGGAAAATGTTGTGCTGCCTTGCAAAAAATAACGGGTTTATAATTTTTTGAATGCAGTCTGATTGATTCTTTCAAGACTGTTGTAGATTATTTATAAAAAAAATTCAACAAAACCTCATTTTTGAAATCTGTGAACATAAGCACTGGCTACTTCTGTCAACTGGCCCAAAAAAAATCTCACACTGGCTCTAACCCTAACATTTATTGAATGATATTGAAAGCCAATAAGAGGGGGGGAAATAACCACAGCAAATCCTAAATATCTAGGTTATTCCAGTCATTAAATGTTGTCACTGTTGCTATTGCTCATACTCAAGGTTAGAGTAATCAAACTTACACTCATAATGACGAAACAGGTGAATAATATCCCTCAAATTGTGTCATATGTAGTGACCCAAATATTTTAAATAAAGCTAAATCATTAAGTCACTCCTGCTTTTACTCTCTCCAACAGCAAACCCAAATTCCAGACTATGCCGAGCTTGTGGTTAAGTTCCTAGATACGTTGATTGACACTTACCTTCCTGGTATCGAAGAAGAAGGAGGGGAGGAGTCACTGCGCACCCCCACCTCTCCATATCCGCCCACCGTCCAGAGCCAGCTCAGCATCACGGCCAACCTCAACCTGTCCAACTCCATGACATCTCTCGCCACCTCACAGCACTCACCAGGTCAGTGCTCACTTCCTGCATCATTACACACACACACATAGGCGCAAATTAGTCCGTAGTCGCTCACTTAACTTCACACTTCACATTCTTCCCGAGCTACTCACACCTGCTCACGTAAATGCGATTACGTGAGTCACGATAACGCTAACACATGTGCTGTCGTTGCGACATACCCTAGCAATAAAAAATAACACCGTAACAGCTCTGTTTGGAAACGCGCTGCTTTTGCAGTTTTCAGTGCTTTTCTGTCTACTTTCACATCTCGAGACCTTTAAAAGTGTCGCCAGTTTACAGTTTGTCAGGCTTCGCTAGACGTGCAAGATTTAGAGTAGACCATCGTACAGGGCTTTGACAGTGGTTGTGTGTGCATTTGACACCTTTGCTTTGCGTTTGTATCTTCATTAACCTCACTGCATTCTGTCTCCTTTTTATTGGGAATGTGCTGTCGGTTCAGAGGGCCCTATAGTTTATAGACGGTCCCCAACTCTCTCCCATCCACGAACCACAGAGGAGGTGCCACCGAAAACAGCTGGTACAAACCTAAACTATAGAGCTGTGTTGGGCAATTAATGTCCAGTTCTATAGTTTGCGAACTGTGGTAACTTATTTAAGTGCCTATTTCTTGTCTTTACTTTTTTTCAGTGGTGGCAGTGTGATACTATTCAGTTTAAATTGGCCATTAAAGGGTGTATTTTCATAACGGAGGTATTTTTATATACGTGTATATGTAACAGACGTCATTAGATGATCCAGCAAGCACTTGAGTGAATGTCTAAATCACATTCCTTCTCACTAATTTCTCCTTTTGATATGGATTTAATCTGCATTTTGAGCTAATATCAGCTACTGCTTAGCTTCACTGTTCAGCAGAACTCTGCTTTTGTTGGTCATTTAGAGTAAAACGCACAAAGTTAGATATATTTGTAAGCTGCCATTTTTATTTTGATTTCCTGTTTCTTCCATTCATCTGTCCTTCCTGTCCTCTTTTGAGTTGTGAATGTGTCACTCATGTCTTTTTTTTTTCTACTCTCTCTGTGTGAAGCCTGTCTGCCTTGCTCTAAGTCGGCTGTATTCCCACCTCACCTCGTCCTCCCAGGTACTCATCATCGACCTCTGTTGTGTGAAAATAGCAGTTGTTGCCATTCGCAGTGTGTTTGTATTGTAAATCTGCTGCTGGAGTCAGTAGTAGATGCTACTGTCAGATCAAAGCAAGAGGGGCTGCTTTAACAGGAAGTGTGAAGAGAGATCACAAGGGCCTGATATTAAGCGCAAATGAGGAGGACAGAACATTTGCAGTTTTAAAAGCATTCTGAAAGGCTTTTAACGCTTGAAATTGTTAGGCCATTGTCATTTTTAACCCTTGGTTAATTTAAGTCTTAATGTCTAAAAAAGTATACTGTATATAAATATACAGTAGTCTACATTTAAAGTTGATCAAAAAAGTTAATCAAAGTTGTCCTAAGACAAGAATGCATTTTGGTTTTAGGTTTTAGGACAACTTTAATGAAAGGTTTTGATCCACTTCAAATGTTGACTAGTGTATATGAATTCTGTTACTTGCCTAAAAAATTAAAATTATTTAAAAAAATGTTTTATCTTAAAATATAAACATTATTTATTATATATAATTTCTATTTTGTTTTTGATAAAAATCAACAATTATGCAATTAATCTCTTATTTAATTGTGTTTATTAATTTTATTTTATAATTTTATATATTTATGTTAGTTAAATATTTTATAAATTATATGCAATTTTTTTTTTCTTTAGTTTAATATAGATAGGATTATGTTATTTTGTTAAAATATTTTCTTTCTTAATTTACCCCCTGGTTTCACAGACAAGGCTTAAGCCTAATCCTAGACTAAAATTTAAGTCTGAGCTGTTTCAACTGAAAGAAACTTGCACTGACTGATCTTAAAATATATCAGTGCCTTTGTTTTGTCTCAAGATGCACACCAGTAATGTTTTTTTCTAAGTACGGTTATAAAAATTACTTAAATGTCCTAATTGAACTATGGCCTAATCCTGGTTTAGTCTGAGCCCTGTCTGTGAAACCGGGCCTATATCCTCTTCGTCCCATGAGAGACATAAGGCACTGTTTATATATTATATAATTTTAAATGTGTATTATTGTTATATAAATAAATAAACAATGTAAATAAATTAGTTAAATTAATTAATTTATTAAAATTAATAATTTAATTTTAATAATATTACAATTAATTAAAAGTTACATAAATTAATTTGTAATTAATACATATATAATGTAATTTGTTTTTTATATTTTTAATTTTATATTTAAATTGATGCATACTAAGGCTGGTTATGTTTGGCTGTCTGTTGCTACATAACTTGATATTTTATTACAGGACCACATTGTTTCTTTGCACCACAGTTTGGCTTTAGCACCCAGTTAAATGCATCATAACCCAAAGTTTAAAGCAGTGTGGCCTTAAAAAAAAAAAAAGTGTGAAATCTTATAAAAGACATTAACCCAGTGTTAAACAGAGTGTGAAAAGCCTTTTATAGTTTACAGTTTGTAAATTTGAACCTGTGAGAACAGTAATGCTGATATATGCCTTCTAATAATTTACACAAGAACAACAGGCACATTTTAAAAGCACACTTATGTCTCATATCATGAATGCTCACAGGATCCCTGCATGAGACTTTCTCCTCTGTGTGATAATGTAGTGCACTGAGACACCTGCTGTTCAATATGTGTACTTACAGTTAGACTCCATGTCAAAGCATACTGTACGTCTGTGAAACCTGACCAAATGCTTGAGTTGATGTTTTACATTTGATAAACGTAAATTAAGATTAAACAATTATTGTGAAGGTAATTGATTCGATTTAAGGTTTTGAGTAAGAAACAGGCAACAGTTGCGACTGGTGTTACATTACATCTCTCTCCTGCAGGCATCGACAAGGAGAACGTTGAGATTTCTCCCACCTCGAGTCTCTCCACCAGTGGGCGAGCACGACACGGGTCAGCCAGCCAGGTGCAGAAGCAGCGTAGTGCAGGCAGCTTCAAACGGCCAAGCATCAAAAAGATCGTCTGAGAAGATTTGAAGCATTTCTCTCTACTCCGTGGCCATCGTTCTTCTCCACGAATCCTTTTTGCTTTCCGTTGTCCAGTTAACAAGGTTCCTGCATTGAAGAATCGCTTAAGTGTTTGTTTTTTTTAATACCAGTTGAAGCTTGACACACACTTGCCTAAATGAACTACTTCAGGAGAATTCACTGAACTCTTATGTGTTGCACTCAACATCGAAAATGTCTTGGGACCGACCACATTGAAATGCTAAATCTGTCCAGCTGAGGCGTCCACTCTTCGTTTTGCACAAACTTGAGATTATGTCCTCATCGATGTCTGAAAGAAACACAAGAATGAGAAACTGATCTGATCAACCACTACAGCAAACAGATGACCAACCGTGTGGAGACTCGCAGGCTCATTATCCTGGCCTCCGGCCTTTTTCCATTTTGTCCCGGACCCAATACGGGATGGACGAGGGGCCTGTCCTGTCCTGATATCCACATGCTTGAAATCTGGATGGCAATCCAAGATTATATGTGTACTATATTATTGACGATAATAACGATCACATGTTTTGGGTTCTTATTTTATCCATTGTGTGCCTTTGTCAGGGTTTTCAGCTGTGTATAGTTTGTAAAATAGGCAAGACCTTGCTAAGGAAGGGAAAACAGGTACTAATTATGAAAATGTGTTGCGGCTTTAACATTTACCATATTGTCCATACGTCGCTACGGTGTAAACTGTACCATGTGACCATCAACTACTAGAATATCGTATTGCAGCATCTAAATATTTATTCTGTAGATAATGTTTTCGGAGATCACATGAAGGTTTGCTTTGCGATCGGTCGTAAAAAAACAATTCTAGAAGAGCAGTGGATGAGTATGTATTTTTTTTTTCCCCAAAATGCACAAATCAAACACGACAAATTGGCATTAATATTCATGTTTTAGCATTGTCTCACTGTGGTGCAATATGTTTTTTATTTGTTTCGTTGAACACTATGTGTGTGTATACAAATTGCACATGATTTAAGTGTGTGATCAGGAAAAATCCATGCACACTTTTACCTTCCCCTGTTCCCGTCTCACTAACAGCTCACGTACGGCACAGGAATCCCAATCCCACCACAAGCTGACATAGTAACATTGCACCAAAGACTAGTTTGCAATATTGTGAGGGGAAACTATTGTGAACTCCATTTTGTATATTTTTATGTCTGTCTCGTCTATGTTGTATGCCTTAAATAATTATTTTCTTCCATACAGTTCTCACTAGCTTTGTAACCATGTTTTTGGCGTTTCATTTAATCGTTTTCCCACTCGTCGCCTAACCAGTGAATTGCAAAATTAAACACAATTGTGCCATTTAAGTTGGAATTAACATGCCATTTGCAGGGCTTCACGGTGTATTTAACATACAATGGCCATCAAAATTGAAGTGGGCGATTTTTGTGTGCAATATGTTTTCTGCATTACTTTTCTGTCATTATTATGCCTATCTGCAAATCTACAAGGAGGACACGGTAGTGTACCTAGTAACAGACTCAAGTACATTGTCTCTTTGAAATGCTTATTAAAGGGAAACTTGTATTACTAAAGAAAAGGGTACCTGCCAAATGTTTGAGGACGGAATATTTATGCATAATTTTAATTTTATGTTTCTGAAAGGATTGCATTGAAATACTAGATGTTTCACACTTAAAATTGGGACCAAATCAATGTAATTTTTCCATTTCATTTGTAGATTTATTTTACATTTTCGTATGTTTTACAACGTACTATACTGCAGGTCCAAAAATGTACGTTCATGCTGACTTGTGGTCATTTTAGGGCACTAAGTATTTACAGTGAAATATCATCCCAACTGCAGATTTCAGATCACAGTGATCAAAAATGAAACTTGAAATGTTTATTCCTTCTCTATATGTCGTGATGGCAAATTTCACATCAGTCCATGTCAAATTGAGTTTTTAAGATAAATTGAAAATATGAAGGAACATAATGACCCAATCGAGTGTTGGAAGTGTAAGATTTGTCTTCTTTTTTTTGCATCCATTACTCTGAATAACCAGAATATAACTCCTTTTTCTTGAATCTTAGATGTTGCATTGCTACTACCAATCTAAAACTGACCTAATTTGATATGTCAAAACTTTAAGACAATAATGAAGGCATAGTCTTCTTGACTGCCATGATGGTGGATAGGACACATGACATGCCCCTAAGCCTTTTAAATAGCTTATGTAATTAAACTGTCTTATGTTCTCATCATAAACCTGACTAAAAAAGTGGTTTATTTTATATAATTCAAAATGTGTGTTTGTCTGATGCATTGCCACATTTTTAATTGCATTGGTCACCTGTAAATATGTTTGTGTAAAATTGGAAGGTATATAAATACAAGTGTAAATATATGTGATATTGTATTACTTGCTTTTTTGTAAAGCGGTTAGTTGCTGTTCATGTATAACATGGCAATTTAATTATACCAGTGTTCGTAATAAAAGTTTCCCTCAACCCTGTTACCCTGCTGTCTAACATGTGGAATCAATTTTTACTCTACATTTCTAACTGGGTTTTATTAAAGGGAAAGAAATGTTTAAATGCCAAGAAGATACCTGTATCAGATGTTTATCACCTCAGAAACTGCCATACAACCTGTGCAAAAACAAAATGTTTTAGATGTTTGAAGTTTTAATGATTTTGTATTGATAAAATTGTCAAAAAACTTGACTATAACCTCGCTTCAGGGGCATTGTAATGAAATCTAAATGATAAGAGATACTCTGTGGATTACATTCATCAACTTTAACAACATTTAAAGTGATTACCTTTCCACAATCAAATGAGGTTTTGCAGTATTTCTATTCTGAATATATGGAAGAACAAAAGTACAATACAACTGCAACATCTCTGTTAAAACCAACTTTAACCAAATAAATAAAACAAGAAACAAACAACAAAAAGATGCTCAAAAACGTCCTTTGACCTCAAATCGTTGACTTTGGAATCTGTTTGTGAAAGTGGCCTTTCACAAGCTAAGTAATCCATATAGATAACTTAAACATGCATTAGGGAGACTGACAAATTTTAACATCTTTTTTTATTATTTTATATTAAAATGAATATTGTGTACTAGATAGTTCAGCATTTCCATCAGTTTTTAATCTTTTTCTGCAAGTTTACTTAAATGTTCCATATAGTCTCAATGAATATGAGGTCATATGTATAATAATTATACAAAAATCAAGATTTAAATGCCATTTTAAATGAAATACTGCATATCACACTGCTTGACGGGTCAATACTGTGATCTTTTCAAATGTGGCAAACACTCCAGTGTACCAGGCTGTATCATATCCAGGGGCAAAGTTCAAAGTTTAGCAGCCAACTGCCATGTCAATAACATTAAATAACTGCCGCTGTTTGTACTTTGTTTTACTTTACCTTTAAACATATTTTGAGCTACAATCCTTGAATCTATTTGGAGTCTTTCTGTCACATTTACTTATTCCCTCAACATTATAAAGAAACGACTCCGTAATGTCTTCGGCAGCCTCGTGAAGTACGAGACCACTGTGTTCTCGCGATGTATCCATACATTAACACTGACAGCGGACTTATCGCGAGATTTGATCAGCTGATGCGTCTCTGTTTTTAGAGTGTGCGTTAGGACGGTCAACACGTGGGTAGGAGAGACAAGACACACACATACATACGCAAAGCGGGGGGACACGTTGGGATTGTGCTGGGCCTTGAACACGTAACATTAATATTATACGGTGGCGGTGCGAGGGACGCATAAACACAGTGAGTATAAACCGTGAGTTCGGGTTTTTAACTTAACGTTACCTCATATATGCTGATAGGTGAAGCTTAAATAGCGCAGAGGGAGCCCATTTTCCCATTTTAGCCGCCTCTGATTAGTCCTGCTGTCGCCTTTTGCTTGACATTCAAGCACATTTTAACCATCTCACATGCAGCCATTTCATCTTCAAAAATGATTTCCACCTTCATTGGTTCGACAACGTATGTCTGACATTGCGCCAGTGCTATCCAAAGCGCCTGGAACGCTTTAGCTATAGTGGCTAACGGTGTCGCCAAATCTGAGTTCAACTCTAATGGATAAATAACAGGTCTTGCACATTATTTAAAGTCGTCTAATTGAGGAACTGCAGTAAAATCTCTCATTAGTAGCTAACAGACCTTATACTATTTAGCAAAAAATCATCTTGACCACCTTCAGCTGCTACGACCATGTTTTGGAACATAGTAACGTTACCTAACGTAGTTTTTAAGTTGATCAGTAGCTGGTTGGCCAGGTTAAGTTACATATTCCACAAACCATCTTGACCATTTTAAGCTGGTTTCACCAGCTGGTAGCTGATTTGTTACTGGTCCTACCAACTAAGGACCAGATAGAAGCCATTATAATCTGGATGTTCCATGAGGGAATTGTCGTTTCCATATTTTAGGGTCCAAATCCTAATGTTACTTGGAGCTATTATCATTTGTGTGGTCATTTTGGAGTATGACAGGGAGAACATATGCTCTTTGTTCTTTGTGCCTTGAAGTCAATTCACACCTTCATTCAGCTGAATTATGTACCGAGCCACATGGACGAGCGGTTTCTGTGAACTCATGGATAATTCAGGGCCGCTGTGAAGGAGGAGGACTTGGTGGAGGGTTACCCCGGTGGAATCGGTTTAAAGTCAAGATACTTGAAGCGGTCAGTACTTCAGACTGAATAACTGCATGGGGCTTTAATTCATTCAGCGGCCTACCACGCGTACTGTAGGTCAATATCACCTCGCTAACTGGTTATGCGTGCTTTTCTTTATTTAATCACCTCGGTTATGCGTGTGGTTTAATTGCTGTCATAAACCGTGGAAGCTTCTGCTTTTATTTATTTCATTTCGCTTATCAGTCTTTATAGCAGCAGTGAACAGTTAGCCTGACTGCTAACACGCGCAGCATGCAATGCAACCTGGTAGACATCAGGCCGCAAGGTGTCTATTTTGTCTCAGTCAAGACGTGCACTTTTATGCACAAATTATGTCGTGTTATCATTGACTTTCGCCGCAGTGACAGTGTGATAAAAACGCTCTCCGGTGTAATTATCCAGCAGCAGCCGGTGCGCGTCAGTATCACCTCAAGCGCCAGAGTGTTCGCAGGTTCGCTTTTGTATTCTGAATGCAGCAGCACTAGTAAGCCGCTTACTTGCGATCAATGGGTTCGTATGTAACGTGTTGCGCGAATGACTGGCTACGGTGCCCTCTCCGTTAATAACACACCTCCCCAAGGTCGAACGGGCCACCGTGCAGCACGCGCTCGGTTCTTTCTCTATGGTCCGCTCGCGCACGCGCCCAGGCCATGATCTGACACTGAGCGTTAACTCGCCGAGCGTTTATTTAACCTCGTGCTGAAGGTGAACACAGGGCTGAAACTGGTTCAGGAGGACTTTACTGGGCAGAAACTACAGCATGTGACTACATTTGGTTGACATGAATGCTTGAAACGTGCTCTCGAGACTGATAGCGTTAACAGACAGTGTAGTATTAATATTATGGCTTTTGCATTGTGTGACCAACCCTCCACAGATAGTGCAATTACAATTTCTTGCAGTAGAGAAAAGTGAAAGCTACCAATGTCTGATATATAGAAATTGTGTTTGGTATAGTGCGAAATCATTTATGTGGCACTTAAAATGAATAGTGTAAAACTTTAATTGATAGTGTTGTTTTTTTGTTGTTCAATTTCTGGGGGCCAAAATAAATGCTGTATGAGATTTTCTTCTGTACATTTTCTAAGAGGTTTGCGGATTTTGTAACCCTGTCATCAAAATATTGTACCTTTCTAAATGATCATAGGCTTCGCTTATCCCGTGCGAATGCACCACACGAAATTCAGAGGTGGGGGGTTAATTTAAAAATCTCACAAGGTCTCCAAATAATACTAATCCCGTGCGAATAGGGTTTAAGACTGACTTTTCATCTCAAGTCTTCGTTAACACCAATATTAAACTTAAGAGTGATGCTGTCGCTTAGTAGGGACTAGCTACTTTGGGGTCAGATTTTGGTTTGTTGTCATTTATAAACAATATTTTTCCATAATATTTGTTTGTTCATTTTGAGCTTGAGGAATGTGGTCAACACTACGATCTGAGTAATCTACTAATTTTCCTGCTATGATGTACAGAGATGCCAAGTGATGCATTTTAGGGAATATTACAGCTTCGATATGGTCGGCATCATGTTTGACATTGATCCTGCTAATGATATAAGGAACTTTACACTAATTGATGCTTCAGATTCTGTTAGCATGGCACTTAAACAGGGCTGTAACCCCCCCATAATTAGAAATTGCCAAATTTTTCATATTCTTCCTGCTGCTCTGCTGCTGTCTAGGATTACAAAAGTTTTAAAAGTTACAACCTAGTTATAAAAACTAACTTCAGCGGTCTGTCAGCGCTCAATTTCAAAATGATTGAGATGGTCAATAAAATCAGACAAGGTGGGATTTACCGTTCACAGAAGCCTAACACGATGCTTTTGTCTTTAATATGAAAGATTATCGACTGACCGTAATATCCATTGATGCATTGATGTTAAATTGAAAATATAAGCTTTAATTTAACCTGTTAGTGTTCCAACGTACCACCCGTAAATTTTCCAGGAATGCTTAAGTAATTGATATCATATGATTCTGAATATGATGAGATTTTAACAGCCATTTACAGCAACAAGGTATACAGGCAAGACTGAATGAGTGCAAATTTTAAAAAACAAAAGTTCAAATGGTCTAAGACATGGTTATAACTTTGTACTTAAATATATTTTGATACTGAATTTTTAGTGTATTTCTAAATGTTTTCCATATTAAGATCCAACTTTGGTTTCTTTCTTGCGATATATTTGTCATTCCTTACGCTACATGCTCAGTAGTCACTATTTCTTGACAGTCAGAGAGGCTAACAGCAGGCTGTCTGCTGAAACGCTATCTGGGAGCTGAGAGAAACGGAAACCCCTTTATTTTTGGTTACTATGCACAGGAGTGAATGGGAGGGGTTTGTATATGATGTGTTCCTCCTCCTCTGGAGAGTGGGATTTGCTGTCCCTGTGATGGAAATGCATGCATGAATGTCCTTTTTTAACTCTGAAAGGATGCCCCTCCCGGCCAGTAGCAGTGAGGTAGACATTGCACGTAGCTCTCAGCACCCTCTGAGGTTGAATGTCAGCCATGTGATATTGTCCCCGAAGTTTCTGCATGGCTGCCTAGAGCTCTCCCCTCTCTTACTGTAAAGCAGTCAGGCCAAAAGTGCTGCAAACAAAGCAATATGTTATATGTAATTTTTATTTTTATTTTAAGATTCACAAGTTTTGATTACCTGCTTCTGTTATTTCTAGATCTTGTTCTTTGTCTTGGAAGGATGCAGTTTATTTTTATTACATACTATGTGATCACCAGTATATATAATAATTCCATTGAAGATGTTTTAGTGCCCATGCATCTTACATAACCATGAGCTAGTTGTTTTCTAGATGATACACAGACTTGTGAACAAGACAAAGGAATAAATGTTGACAAGGTATAATTTCCCAAGATTAGGATGAGTCGCCCATTCTTTCACTTCTTCCTAAAGGCAACACATCTTAAACAAGAAATAAAACCTTTTATTACACTGCTCTCTGGAATACTTTCTTATTGGCCTGTCTGTGGTCAAATGTTTAACTAGTTTCCAGCTAAAAATGCTGTACTTGATTCATGTCTCTCAAATCACTCTGAAAAAATAAATAAATAAAACAATAAAAATCAACTCTCCTTAATGTCATGTCCATTTACTCATTTAAATAAGGTAGCTGTTGTAATTGGGACAATGTACAGTAATTTGGTTATTGCAAAATGTTTACAATTTTGCACAGTTTTCATTAAACATTAAAATGACCCACTAGAATGGGTAATAGGATTACAAATAGGCCAAAATAATCTTCAGTTTTTTTACAGTAGTGGTTGGGTACTTTTGGGACTAAATGTTTATTTGTAGTTAATGATAAACTTTAGTTTCTTGTATGTTAAAGTTTTACACACACATTTATGTTTTGGTTGGTTCTATTGCTTTGGATAAAAGCGTCTGCTAAATGACTAAATGTAAATAGATATATAAACTATAGTAACAAGACTGAATGGTTAAGCTTAATGTCTATGTCAGGTTTATTGTTTGTCCTTTTATAGTGCAACCTGTCACCATAATTTCCTTTTTCATTTTGCTTTGACACGGTTTGTCTAATCATTTTTCCTTGTGTTGATCTGCAGGTGTAGCTGCTAGGGTCTAGAGGAGATGCCACTGAGGTTCCGGTCCTTTGTTCCGTATACGCTTCCTGGAGTGCTGGCGCTCATAGGCTGGTGGTGGTACATCTCCCGCAAGAAAGAGCGAATCACCAGCCACGACAGTGAAGAGGGGTCGTTTATGGGCTTGCGAACCTCCTCTGGTGAGGGCAGCAATGGGATGGTCGACAAGAGCTGCCCCGCGGCCAGCAGCACACACCGCAGAACCAGCCGAGACAAAGTCAAGGCCAAAGAGCACAGAGCTGTTGAGCAGGAAGTTGTAGCGGAGATACACACGCCGGTGTTAAAAACCACTGCGGGGGAGGCTCTTGGCGCCCCTCCAGTTGTGTTGGCCAGTGGACAGCTAAACGCTCCTCAGAGCGGTACAAAATCAGTCCCCCCACAAAGCCACCCAGAGACAACAACTCCTGTGTCATCTGCAACCCCAACAAAAACAGTGGAGGAGAGCACTCCTCACAAAGGACCAGAGGCCGGCGTTGGTAACAAACCTTCAAGCCAGTTACTGTCAGATCTAACAAGCACTGGTTCAATCAAGAAGCAGGTCGAAAACCAACCACTAACTAAGCAGCGTCCCGCAGAGCTAGCCAAAGCAGAGCGACCTGAACCTGAGGGAGAGGTGGCCGCTGAAACCTCAGCACCGACTTGCACTCAGAATCTCCCGGCTGACCCTTTAAAAGATGAGCTGCCCACCGCTACATCTTCAACAGAGAGCGAGGCTGTCTTGCTGGAGACCTGCAGCCTGAAAACGCCACTAACCCTGACCCCGTTCCCTAACTCCACCAGCACACCCCTTTCAGAAGGCTCCACGGAGTCTCGGCACCATGAAAACGGAGACCTGGGCTTGCCGGCCGAGACCAGTCCAGACATGCAGGAGCTCCAGCGTCTTGCGGCAGGGCTGATCACTGAAGTCATCTCGGCAGCCACCCAGGAGGTCATGGCGGTCAGCAGCTGTGAGTCCCGGTACAGCAAGGGCTCTGAAGCGTCCGACAGCAGCACGCCGGCTATAAATGGTAAGGAAGTGGAGTCGCATATACCTCCAGAGAGTGTGGAAAGCGCAGAGTCACGGGCGGTGCAGATAGCAGAAGACATCGTCAACAGTTGTCTGGCGCCTTCGCTCTGGAAGATGCCAAAGAATGAGAAGGAAAGAGGCTCGTTGACTGTGCCGTCTGGGGAACAGTTGGAGTCCACGCCGGTTCTGGCCAAGCTGCAGGCAGAGGAAGCTCTGGTGGAAGACTCAGGATGTAGCACGTGCCAGTCAGAGGATGGCATCAGCAGCGAGGATCTCCACAGCACAGGGTTGTCCTCGAACGTGTCTGAGAGTAAAGAGGACCTCATTCAAATTTCAGGGACTTGTAGGGCCTCTGAGGGTCAAGGAGATGGACTGCAAGAGAGTCTTTCTCTAATTGCCCCTCAGGAGTCTCCGCTTACCGCAGAAAATGTGGCTACGGTTTGCGAGGCAGCACGGCTGAATGGAACAGGCTTTAGGAATGGCGCTGCTAGTGAGGTAGAAGCTGACCAATCAGGAGGTGAGTTACAGTTAATAAGAATTTAACGACAGGGCTTAAATGGATAGTTAATGCAGCAATGACTGCAATGAATGGTTCTGTCATTTAGTCTCCCTGAAGTCATTCTGAACCCATTTTACTTTCTTCTTGTATAGTGCCTCGCACACCTGAATTAATCATAGGGATGTTGGATAAGTACAAAAATATAAATCCTGCACTCTACTAAGTTTGCACAATCAGAAACATATTTTAATGAGTAACTTTTCATCAATTAACCTTACTCAGGCTCTCATCTGTGGAACGCAAGATATTTTAAAAAAGGCACTTTGTTCATATAATTAAAGTCTGTGGGGTTAATTGTTTTGACCCCATTGTCTTTCACTAAACGGACCAGGGGTCTCATTTATAAAACTCTCTGTAGATTTCATCCTAAAAGTGTATGTAGGCACAAAAGCTAGATTTTGCGTACGCACAAAAGTTACGCCAGAACCTGCGCAAAAATCCCTTTATAAATCCCAGTCAGGGCAGGGGAAGATTGTACGTACGTGCATCTCCACCCCGACTCCTCCCCGAAATAACCATATATGGAGCTTACAACGCCTAGTTTTACTATGCATATCCTCATCTGCATATCATTTCTATGCATATTCCCATCCACGTGACACCATGTTTAACACCGTCAAAGGTACAAGACATTAAGGAAATATGAGATACGGACTATAAATGTCATTTGTGTCATACTCATTCTTTTTTATTGCTAAAAATCATCCAGTATCCTTATGTTTTAGAATAAATACATCAAAATATCCATAAAAAACTGTTTAAAATAGTTACCAGAAAAATAATTTAGAATAGAGAATAATATTTCAGTTGTTTTTAAAAATTCAAATTAAATTAAATTACAGTTGCAGTTGCTGATAAGGTGAGCATCTTTAACTCCACCAGCACACCCCTTTCAGAAAGCTCCATCGAGGCTCAGCACCATGAAAACGGAGACCTGGGCTTGCCGGCCGAGACCAGTCCAGACATGCAGGAGCTCCAGCGTCTTGCGGCAGGGCTGATCACTGAAGTCATCTCGGCAGCCACCCAGGAGGTCATGGCGGTCAGCAGCTGTGAGTCCCGGTACAGCAAGGGCTCTGAAGCGTCCGACAGCAGCACGCCGGCTATAAATGGTAAGGAAGTGGAGTCGCATATACCTCCAGAGAGTGTGGAAAGCGCAGAGTCACGGGCGGTGCAGATAGCAGAAGACATCGTCAACAGTTGTCTGGCGCCTTCGCTCTGGAAGATGCCAAAGAATGAGAAGGAAAGAGGCTCGTTGACTGTGCCGTCTGGGGAACAGTTGGAGTCCACGCCGGTTCTGGCCAAGCTGCAGGCAGAGGAAGCTCTGGTGGAAGACTCAGGATGTAGCACGTGCCAGTCAGAGGATGGCATCAGCAGCGAGGATCTCCATAGCACAGGGTTGTCCTCGAACGTGTCTGAGAGTAAAGAGGACCTCATTCAAATTTCAGGGACTTGTAGGGCCTCTGAGGGTCAAGGAGATGGACTGCAAGAGAGTCTTTCTCTAATTGCCCCTCAGGAGTCTCCGCTTACCGCAGAAAATGTGGCTACGGTTTGCGAGGCAGCACGGCTGAATGGAACAGGCTTTAGGAATGGCGCTGCTAGTGAGGTAGAAGCTGACCAATCAGGAGGTGAGTTACAGTTAATAAGAATTTAACGACAGGGCTTAAATGGATAGTTAATGCAGCAATGACTGCAATGAATGGTTCTGTTCCCTGAAGTCCCTGAAGTCATTCTGAACCCATTTTACTTTCTTCTTGTATAGTGCCTCGCACACCTGAAGGGATGTTGGGGATGTTGGATAAGTACAAAAATATAAATCCTGCACTCTACTAAGTTTGCACAATCAGAAACATATTTTAATGAGTAACTTTTCATCAATTAACCTTACTCAGGCTCTCATCTGTGGAACGCAAGATATTTTAAAAAAGGCACTTTGTTCATATAATTAAAGTCTGTGGGGTTAATTGTTTTGACCCCATTGTCTTTCACTAAACGGACCAGGGGTCTCATTTATAAAACTCTCTGTAGATTTCATCCTAAAAGTGTATGTAGGCACAAAAGCTAGATTTTGCGTACGCACAAAAGTTACGCCAGAACCTGCGCAAAAATCCCTTTATAAATCCCAGTCAGGGCAGGGGAAGATTGTACGTACGTGCATCTCCACCCCGACTCCTCCCCGAAATAACCATATATGGAGCTTACAACGCCTAGTTTTACTATGCATATCCTCATCTGCATATCATTTCTATGCATATTCCCATCCACGTGACACCATGTTTAACACCGTCAAAGGTACAAGACATTAAGGAAATATGAGATACGGACTATAAATGTCATTTGTGTCATACTCATTCTTTTTTATTGCTAAAAATCATCCAGTATCCTTATGTTTTAGAATAAATACATCAAAATATCCATAAAAAACTGTTTAAAATAGTTACCAGAAAAATAATTTAGAATAGAGAATAATATTTCAGTTGTTTTTAAAAATTCAAATTAAATTAAATTACAGTTGCAGTTGCTGATAAGGTGAGCATCTTTCAGCTATTTTTAGTGGTAAAATATAGGCCTATATTTATTGCAGTGTAAATACAATTATCTGACTCTGCGCGTCACTGACAAAGTATTTTAAAAAGGAAATGTGCAAATCTTACCGTTTTCAAGTCTACCGTTTCCTTCAATTACAGTGGTATTTTTCATTATGTTGTGGCGATGCCTTCACAAGACATCAACACCTGTGCAGCTGTGGTTGTACAGTAAGCTATTATCATTGGACCTATTCAAACCGGACAATAGACCGAATCCAGCAGTGTCTGCCACAATATCAAAGTTACTGTGCATCATTGATCATTGTTCTTGCTAAAAATATTTTCTCATAACAGGAGATGTGCAGTTTAGTTTAAAGATAAATTATTGTGCACCTATAGCACACCTCACTGTCATTAAAACATAGCATACCACAGGAAAAGTAATCAAGAGCATCCACTACAAATAGGCTGTGTCTAAATTCATATAATTTTGGTTTAACTTCTGCATAATGACTTTATGTAATTTCAGTGCTTATCTCCATTAATGAGAGTGGAATATTTAATGTAAATGTATATGATGAAATGAAAACCGTTTAAAATTATTGTTTACTTCATTACTTTTCTCTCTCCAGGAAAAAAAGTCCGTATGCATGTGTCAGAGTTTGTGTGCAGGTGTGCAAATTTTCCAGTCAAGTTTGTTTTTTTATAAATCCCACCTTTTGCATAGGAAGTGCTGTATGCCTCTTTCAGGGCAGGTTTTGTGCATACGCAACGGTTATAAATGAGGCCCCAGAACTGTTGCAACATTCTTCAAAATATTGTGTGTTGTAGGAGAAATACAATCAAAACAGATTTGGAGTGATATGAAGGAGAGTAAAGGATGAAAGAATTCTCATTTACAGTGGGTACGGAAAGTATTCAGACCCCCTTCAATTTTTCACTCTTTGTTATATTGCAGCCATTTGCTAAAATC